TTAATTCCTCCTCGTTTCAAGTAACATCTCATTTTTTTAAGTGATCCCTGTGGGTTGGTGCAAACTAGATCCACAAAATGATCGTTCTTCTCCAATTCAAAATTGGGGCTCAGACCATTAACATTAAATTGAAAAAGTGTGGGATAACACCAAGCATCTCACCTTTGAAGATAGGTAGAATTTCAGGATGTGGCAGCGGTCTCTCAGTCTTAAAGTAGGAGAGGCAAGTTATCATGAGGAAGAGGGAGATTTGGTAATGGTCAACTGGGATGGGAAAGAATGGGCCATCAGAATGACGGTGTTGATCAGATACGGAGAGAGTGGTGTCTTTATTGTAGAGCCAGAGGGATCAGTAATGAGCTTTTTTTGTTGCTGGCCAAAGGAGTCTCCACAAACTTCCAGGCCTGGAGAACCTTTCAGCTGCAGGCCAGATAGCACAATTTCACAAAATGTGCTTGAAAGAGATGCTAAGTATCGTTTTTAATGTCTGTTAAATGTGGACCCTGGATCCATCTTTTGATGTCCTTACCAAAGTAGAATGGGGTACACTTTAGTTCTTAAAAACTCTGTGTCAAGTCTCCAATGAAAAACCAGACACTCATTCTACACTTGCAAAACAATATGCAATCTCTACTTCCTAAGTCTACGTGGAGGCTATCTTTTGGCCATGAACCAAGTTAGTCTGGAGGATATCTAAGTTATCAGTCACCTAAAATCTGTGCCTCCTCATTAGCCTTCAGTCACTGGAAGCAGTTTCTCCTTACTTACTCTATATATACTGTTTATAATTTTAAATAAGTCCATTAAATTCCCTCTTAGCCTGCTCTGCTCTATGGAGAACAATTCCAGCTTCTCCAGCCTGGGCACAAAACCGCAACTGCTCTTCTCTGGAGCCATTCTAATAAATAACCTCTCCAAAGCCTTTATTATATTTATGTTATTCTCTTGTATTTTTTATTGTGGATTATAATGGGAAAACTACCGTCTTAAAAAAAAATCAAGGATTGTAGGAGGGATTGCTACACTTTGAAAAGGCAAACAACCAGAATTTATTATGTGTTGTTTACACTGTTGTGCGGTCAACCAGTGGTTTGGTTGGGGCAGGGGTGGGAGAGGAGGGGAGGGTAGAGTTTAGCTGCAGATCAACTGGCACCAGGGAGCGTACACAATCTGAAGTTCGGCTGGCAACACATTGCTGATAGGTCTGTGGAGCGACGATCAGTTACTGATGACAAAGGCTTTCGGCCTGCCAGCAGTTAAGTCACAAGTACCTCAACAGCAACATAACACCAGGGACCCGGGTTCAATTCCAGCCTTGGGTGATTGTCTGTATGGAGTTTGCACGTTCTCCGTGTCTGCGTGAGGTTCCTCTGGGTGCTCTGGTTTCCTCCCACAAACACAAAATTAAACCAAGCCTGGTTACTTTCTCTCACCAACTGCCATAAGCTACTGCTTTTATCCAATACATGTGAGACTCTACAAGTTGTGAACCAGTCACTCTGTGCCTACTGAAAGTCAGTGAAAGTTAGATTAAGGAACGACAAGTCCTGGCGAGACAAGAGGATCATCTCAGACAGCTCTATGGACAAGAGCTATTGAATGGACTTCACAGAATTTCTCTCTATCCATAACACCACTTTTTGTTTTGGTCATTTGCATACATGTGTATTGGGTGGAAAGGGGGGGTGTTATAAAGGCATTAGAGTTTTAACTAGAACAGTTATTTGTTGACAATTCTTAATTGGTTTCCTGTAGTTAGAACCTATTAATTTGTAATAGTCATCTTTGTTAAGTACAGAAACCTGGCTCATACTTTCTGTCAACCCAAGTTTAAAACATCTAAAACAAATTTGGGAATTTCACAAACTTTCGTAAAACCTCACCGCCTACCTCAGTGAGCCATGACAGCCTTCACATCCTTCTCAAAGTATTGCACATGAAGAAAAGCATTTTACAATTTGTAAAACACTACCTGATAGGGCGGTGGAATTAGATTCAATTCAAGGTTTCAAAAGGAAATAAGCTAAATAGTTGAAGAAGAAAAATTATCCAACAATACAAGGAAAGAGCAGGGCAGTCAACTAACTATATTGCTATCTGGCTTCCTTTTTGCGTTGCACTATTTCGTAACTAGAACAGAAGTACTCTCTCTCTCCAGGTACTATCTCCTGAAAGCTCTTGTATGACCATAGACTTCTTTATTGGTTATGATTGGTGAGGTTCTGCAGTGGTTTGCCATTACTTTCTGCAGATAGCTGATCAAGTGCACCTCCTGCTGATATTGCTACCTTGTAAGTCCTTCCTGCTATGCCTACCAACCTGTTAAGCCAAATTATCAATATAGCTTCCCTGGCCATCAAGTCCTCAAGTAAGACTTAAATCTGGAGGCAGGAAAGCTACAACTGCACTAAAACTACCACGATCTATTTGAGTGGGAGAACAGGCCAGATGGAGAGAATAGCCTGTTTCCATCATCAATATTAGACTGTCAGTTGTAGCTGAATGTTGTAGACATTGTCTCTGAGTGACAATATCCTGGGTTCAAGTTCCACTCTAGGCTTGTGCACAAAGGTCAAAACTGACACTCTGAAATTCCCAGTCAATGGCCATCTTCATCAAGGGACAATTTAACCAAATCACTTTAACATTCAGCAGCATTGCTGTCAATGAATTCTCCAACCCTCAATATCATTTATCAGAAGCGTAACTGGGCTGGCTATAGAAAACCCGTGGTTGCAGGAGCAGATCAGTGCCTGAGAATTCTTCAATAAGAAGCTGACTTCCTGACTCTCCAAAGCCTGTTCATCATCCACAAGGCACAAGTCAGGAGTGTGATGGAATACTCTCAACCTCTCTGTATGCAGTTCCAACAATCAAAAAGTTTGATACCACCCAGGAAGTAGTAAAAAGTTTGTTCATCACTTCAAACATTCAATCCCTCCAACGCTAACAAACAGCGCTACCAAAGTGTATAATCTGTAAGTTTCACTACATCATCACACTGTGGCTGCTTAACAGCATGGATCAAACCTGCACTCTTTACCCCTTAGAACACCAAGGGCAATAGGTGCATGGGAATGCAAGCATCTTCAAGTTCTCCTGACTTGGAATTTAATGGCATTTCTTCAGTCTCTGAGTTAAAGTCCTGGACCTCCCTCCCTAATAGCATTGAGAGGGTACCTATACCACGTGGAATGCAGCAATTTAAGTAGGTGGCTCACCACTACCTTAAGGCCAATTAGAAATTTATAATAAACACTGCAATCTATGTTAGATCCCATTAAAAAATGAAAGAAATCATTCTCTGATCATAAGTCGTAATTTCTGTGGAAATCCTGTTTACAAAGTATTTCCGGAGATTTCATTAATTGCCTGCCAATGTTACAGTCCCCTGTTGGCAGAAGCCATCTGAGAAATTCTGAGTGTTTGTAGCTTGTATTTACATAGTCTTTAAATAGTTAAATGTCCCAATGTGCTTATCAGACTAAAGCTAATGTGGGGCTAAGAAGGGCGTATTAGAAAAGGTGACCAAAGATTTGGAGAAGGTCAAAAGGAGTGACTACCAACGGTGGAACAACAGTATTGCAGATACTCAAAAGGTCCGACTGGAGGAATGCACATGTTTTAGAGGTTTTATGGCTAGAGGAGCACATAGAAATAAGAAGGGGTCATTCTATAGACTGTGACTTCAACACAGCGATGAGAATTTTAACTTTGTGATGCGGCTTGACTGGAAGCCTCAGTAAACCAACAAACATATGGGTGAATGGGAATTGGTGCAAGTTAGGATATCGATAGCAGCATTTTGGATGAGTTTATAGAGGATGGAAGATGGGAGGCTGGTCAGCCGTGAACTGAAATTGTTGAATCTCTACGGAATATAACATTAAATGAGGATTTCAGTAGCTGATGGTCTGAAACACCTGTATTTTATTCAAATCTTTGCATATCACAGGATATATTTTACTGTTGTGTTAAAATATTCAAAGCTTATAAATGGTAATGGCACTTAAAATGAAAATCATTGTAATTTAAGTCCATCCGCTCTGACAAACTTGACATAATCCGACAAAAACATCTCTTTTCCTTCCTTTATTTCAAACTTACAACAAAAAGGGTAGAGACTAACAACATTTCAAAAGGTATTAGAGACTGTAATTTTCTCTTCATTAGGCTACTGATGACTGCTTTCAAACTTAATTGCCAGATCAGTAATTGGGCACAATCTCCAACTTCCACAGAATCCTCTCTAAAGGGCAGATTACCAGGCTCCTCTGTGACTGGCATGACATCTCCAATGTAGTGACGGAGGTTGGAGAGTACGTAGGGGTGCAGGTAAAGAATAAGTCTTAATACATTGCAGTTCAATCTTTGATCTGTGTTTGCTCGGCCATGTTTCTATTTCAGTAACACAGCCTGGCAGCCTGTGGCCCTTTAAAGTTGCTCTGTAGCATGACGTTCAGTTGAGCCGTCATGCTGCACCCTGCAAAATCAAGCTGCTGACCTGAAATGGGATCAACATGCACCGCACTGTTTTTCCATTCATAAAGTTGCCTCCTGATTTACAGGCATGGAAATTTGATCTGAAGAATCGGGACTATTTAAAAATGCAGGACAACAGTTTATTCATACAGTACTTAACTAAACTAAACAACAGCAGGCTTTACAGAAATGGAATGATGAAAGATCACACAATTCCAAAAGGAACACACAGGCTCCTCTATTTTCTGGCCTCTGCTGAAGTTCTTGCTGGCACATTGTAAACTGGCAAGCAAGGAAATGAAGCTACAATGAATGTCAGAAGTTAGCTTTACACTACAAACAGAAACTGAGAAACAGGCTGAAGACTGTGTGATACCAACCATCTTCTCACAGTAATTCTAAAATTTTAAACATTTGAATCACTATTATTGGTTCTTCTCTTTGGCTGCATTTAAGTTGCAACTTCATCCTGTTACTGAAAATCTGTAATCTGTCCAATCACAAGAGGCAAGACTATTTAGCGAGTGAAAGATGATGATTGTTGTGCGAGGAACCCATTAGGTAAATTCTCATGTTTGACAAATTGCATTCCTAACATAGAACAAAACTGGATGGAATCTCAGGTTAGGAACCATGGATATTGTAATGCGGCCCTGTTCTTCAACCCACCAACCCCCAAATCAACTCAAATCAATTTTCCTAGAAGCCCAGTATTTAGCTCTCTACTATCAGATATTAATTACTCATTTGACAATGAAAGGAAATGGTAAAAATTACAAAGGCCCATTGGGCCTATTGAGTATCCAGATTTCAGCTCACCCAACCTTACATTCAACACTAGCAGCAGAGAATCTAGCCCCTGGACCAGTACCATTCCATCATGCCAACAATTAGAGATACCATTGTCCATCTTCACCACTATTTAGCATTGGGCTGTGCAGTACACCGATCTCTCTCTGTCCCAGTCTCACAATGACCCATGGAGTACACTAACTAGTTTTTCCTTCAGCCTGGCATTGACTCCTGTGGTACACCAATGTGTGCTTTAATACTCTGTGTTTGACAGTGATTTTTTTATACAGGTTTGTTTTTGCATGCTGTGTGCCATAGCAAAGATTGCGATTTCATTCCTGTAGCAAAGTCAAGGTCCTAGAGTTTTATAAGTTGAAAATGCTTACGTCTTTGACTTCCAATGGTGTTAATGAAAGTTGCCTGCAGGTCTGCTCACAGATGTTCCAATTTCATTACTATCGCCTTGGTCTTTGCAAACCTGTTGACTTGACTTTCTGTCCCAAATATCTACGGTTACATCTATAAACAGGACTAAATGAATAATGGCAAGCGAGTACACAATCACTGTAAATGGCACTTACTTGTACCATTCAGTCAACCTTTTCTTTGCCATCCAAATGATTCAGAGAATGGAGCACTAACAGGACACCCACTTTCAAACATTTCAGTTATAGTTTTGTTTTAATAAAACACCATCATCAATGGCTGGTGGTATCGCTATACTTGGAAGATAAGTGCACGCAATAAATTAAGCATTAGTATCTTGGAAATGTGTGCGTTTTGGTTTAGATGAGATCATACTATGTGACAGGTCTCTCCGATAGGAAATGGTGAGATGTGAGATTGTAGCTAAACATGGGACTGTGAACGTTCCAGACCCAGCATGCTTGAAGCCAACCAACAGAAACAACCACACCGAACAAGAAAAACTATCCGTATTTCATATCTATTCAAACAGACTTATGAAATGACAGATTCAGTAACAGGAGACTGTCACTCCATGGATTAACACTAACTGAATTTACATCTGCAAATGTAAAAATTCTACTCTGCTACTAATCAACTTTTGCAGAGCTATACATGCCAGAAGGGTCTGTCCTGGCTTAGCTTTCTAATTGTTTACTTTGACTATAGTCATTAATTAAAGGCTTAATACTAAATCCTGTTTTGTTCTGGGATACTAGATATTAACCCATTGTCTACCAGCAAAGAATTCACACCAGCATAATATTCTCAGTAATGGAAAGCTAGAATGCATTTGATAGAACGTATCTTGGACCTTCCCAAATAATCAATCAGTCTTACAACACAATCTTCCCGTTTCTGACTAGACCTTTGAATTTGCCCATATAAGCTCCAACTGATCACCATAGACTCAGTATTACCCACAACTACTTCCCATACATAAATGCCTACACATTAAACTTTATCTAGTTGCCTTCGTCCTGTAATTCATGTTAGCCTTCCTCCTCTTCACCTGAGGATCAACCTAGAACACATGGAACTGAATTTGCTATCAAGCACAAAATCATCAACCGACTCTCAAAGCCTCCTGTTGGCATCAACAATTGCCTCGTGACTCTACAACTTGCCATCAATCAGCAGGCAATGATAGTGAGTGCCGAAGCTCCAAACCCTGATGCCACAGATATGTCCAAAGAAGGTTGGTACTCTACTCTGGACATCATACTCACCAACATCCCTGAGGAATATAAAGTTATCCTCCTTGGAGACTTCAACAGAAAGGTTTGGAAAGGACACCCAACTGTAGAAAGGAGCTATCGGAAAGGAAGGAGTCAGGAATTGCAACACCAATGGGATTCTCCAGCTCACCAAATGTGTGGAACACCAGCCGGTCATCACCAATACACTGTTCTGCCAAAAGGAGAAGTTCAAGACTTCTTGAAAGCATCCATGATCAAAGCACTAGCACATGATCGACTACGTCATCATTCAATCCTGAGACCTAAAGGATGTTCTCGTTGCCAAAGCGATGACCAGTACAGATGACTGCTCAACAGACCTCCAGCTCATTTACTCCTCAGTATCAATCAAATGCTACCAGAAGCAGCTGAAGACAAAGAAACAGCTCAGAAAAAAAATTTAATGTTGAGCAGCTTCAAAAGCTGAACAGACCAGTGAACTTCCAATAATATCTTCATCAAAATCTCCAAAGAGATCATTTTAAATGGAGTAGAGAAAGAGCTGAAGACAGCCCACATCTCATGCTGTGAGGAAACCAGAGGCTACAGGACTGACAAACACCAAGACTGGTTCAATGAGAGACCACATCAACAAGAAGTTGAAAGCTCTACAGGCCTGGCAAAGCAATGTCATTAGTGAGTCAAACAGGTGAACTCAAACAGCAAAGGCTACGGCAGAGTTACAAAGATGATCGAGGGAAATCAAGAACCAATAGTGGACTGAGAAAGCTAAAGGAGCTGCAACTCATTACTGACAAGCACGAAACCTGAGGTTTCTTCAATGCCACCAAAATAATATACAGACCCAACAGTCTTGGCCTCAAACTGGTACAGAGTAAGGATGACACACTTTTGGGACAGAGAAGACATGAGACTCAGACGGAGAGTACAGTTCAAAGAACTCCTAAACCACAATGCAATTGTTGATAAGGACATGTTTGAGGAAATCCGCCAAGTCCCCAAAGATGATTTTGGACTCCCACCTGGTGTGGCACAAATTGAAGCTGCCATTAGACACATGAAAAATGGAAAAGCCAGAGGAAGAGATGTGTTTCCAGCAAAGATTTTCAAACGGGGAGGAGCATAGCTCACCCAAAATCTCCATCAACTGTTCCTGAAAATCTGGAACAAAGAAGAAATCCCCACTGATCTTGAGGATACTGTCATTGACATTGTCCTCAAGAAAAGAGACAAAGTTGACTGTGGGAATAATCAAGCAATCTCATTACTCTCCATCACCAGGAAAAACATCACCCAAATCTTTGCCAGGCCCCTTCTCCAAATCTGACGAAATCCTTCCTGAAAGCCAGTGTGACTTCCAACCAAACTATGCAACTATGGGCGTTGCTCGGCAACACCAAGAAAAATGCCAGGGACAACACCAACCACTCTATTGATCTGACTAAGGATTTTGACTCAGTCAATTGGGAAGTGCTATGGAAGATTCTAAGAAAGGCCAGCTGTTCAGTCAAATTCATTAACAGCTTCCAAATCCTCCACAACAGGATGACCGTCCTCATCAATGTTAATGTGACAAATCCTTTGAAGACAAGGCAGGATTCAAGCAAGAATGTGTCATTACCCCCACCCTTTTCTCCAACTTCACTGCCACCATTCTTCATCTTGTGAAGAACAAGCTGCACATCAGTGTGAACATTGTCTACAGGACAGACAGAAAATGTTTCAACCTCAGCAAGTTGACATCCAAGAAGAAAGCAACACTGACCTGGTTTGTGGAAATTCAGCATGCAGATGACAATGTGCCTTCTGCTCTCTCAGAACAGAATTTTCAAGCCTCATGTAATTCCTTCACAGAAGCATACCGAAGAATCAGACTTAGCCTCAACCTCAAGAAGATGCAAAGTCTTTACCAGTCCCAGGTCAAATTCCAGTCCATCCCTCCATTAAGATCAATGGAGGGATTCTCCCAAGCATGGAAGATATCCACTACCTGAGAAGGTACCTCTCATTTAAGGTTGACATTGAAGCAGAGATTCAACATCACATCCAATCTGCAAGCACTGTCTTCGGATGCTATAAGAGGATAAGAGTCTTCAATGGCTACAACATCCAAGCTGATACTTTCTATACAAGGTAGTCACTCTACCGACTCTTCTAAATGGCTCTGAAACATGGACTATATATAGGCGCAACCTCTAGACCCTTTTACCTACAGATTCAAGAACAGTTTCCTCCCTGCTGTTATCAGACTTACGAACGGACCTCTCATATGTTCGAGTTGATCTTTCTCTGCATCTTCTCTGTAGCTGTAACACCGTATTCTGCACTCTATTACTTTAATGTGCTAATGTATGGTCTGATTTGTCTAGACAGCGTGCGAAACAATGCATTTCACGGTATCTCAGTACACATGACAATAATAAACCAAATCAAATAAGTATCTTTGATGCTGTTTAAAGCAGATTCTCCACATCAGCTGGGGTGACAGGGACACTAATGTCAGCATCCCTGAAGCAGATATCGAGGCCGTGACCATCCAGAGCCAACTCAGCTGGGCCAGCCATGTGTTTAAGATGAGCTCTGACATCCAAAACAAATCATCTTCACCAGCTCAAGGAAGGCACTTGAATGAGAGGACGACAAGGGAAGCACTTCAAAGTTTCCCTCAAAAATGCCACATCGATGTCAGTGCATGACAGACCCTCGTTCAGAAGAAACTGACTTGGAGGAAACTCCTGTATGAAGTAACAATTCTTTTTTGAGAACACCCGGTAACGGAAGGAAGTACAGAAAAGGAACCAGAGAAAGGAATACCAACAATCTCAAGGGCAAACAATCTCCTGGAAATACCTGATAAATGTACAGTTGGAGATGTGGCTTTAGGACCAGGCTAATCAGCCAAACAAAGACCCACAGAACCCATGACCAATGACACAGAATCTCCTAGGTGGACAATCATACTCATTAGCAAGTGATAGCCAACTCCTCTCACTCCCACCTCCAACATTCAAGCTATTTTCCTCTAACTCCAATAACTCCCTGAGGATCCACTGTCATTCAGTGACCCCAAAAACCTTCCTCAAGAATCCAATTTCCCTTCCCTAACCCCAGTGTCCATTTCCTGAGATCCTAATGGATCCTTGATACCTTAATAACCCTCCTAGAGACCCCAATATTCCTACAGATCTCATGAATTCTCCACCAGAGAGATGATGCACTAACTCCTTACCAGTCCATCGCAGTTGCTAATGGCTACTCTGGCCTCAGGGATTTGGCTGATGCCCCCAGTATAGATGCAATCCTCATTCAGTGGCTGTGTGTGACTTTGTCCATCCTCCTGCCACTCCAACACGGCTCCTGGGGCCACCAACCGGTAGCTGGGTTCCAGTCTGAGCTGCCAGCTCTGGCCAAAGACGGTGACATTGAAGAACAGTTGGCCAGGCTCAACCTGGCTCCTCTGCCCGGGAGTCCCAGGCCAGGACTCGGGGCCGCTCTGCCTTCTCCTCCTGACTCTGGAGCCCGATACCAGGTGGGACATGAAACGACCCTCGGAGTCTGTCCTTAGTGGAGTCACCAAGCTGAACTCCTGCCCCAGAGCGGCAAACTTTTGCAAAACTGCTGCAAAGTAAATCACGGGAGAAAATTCAGCAAAGTCTACAATCACCAAGTAATCAATGAAACACAGATTAATAGTTATACATTGCTGCTCATCACGCTACTCCTACTCTCTATCTATCATTCCTTCTTACCTGTCTATCAATTACTTCCATCAGCTAATTCATTACTATTATCAATAATTGTAGGAGTGTTAATGGATAGACAATAGGGAGTCAATCACTTTCTCCTATTACTGACTTCTGACTGTTAATAATTTTTTTCCCCATTAATCATTCCCTCCTATTAATCAGTCACTCCCCACTATCCATTAATCAATCCTTTTGTTAACCAATCACTCCTCGTCCAAATACAATTATATCCTGTCAATCACTCCCTGCTCACCGTTAATTGTTCAGTCCCTCTTGTTAATCAGCTTCTCCCATCTATCAATCATTCTCTCATGTCAATTAAACACGCCCTTCTATCTATCTATCATATTACACATCAAATCCTTCCCCATTTATCCCACCAGCAATAAACTTTCCTGGTTGATTTTTATTTAGTGAATCTGTGAAATGTTCCTCTTCATCCCAATTTTGCAGATTGATCAGGAAAAGGGATAATGAAATGATAACACACCTACCTGGGCTCCCAGTTACTTCAGATCCAGTCTGCAAAATACCAAAAACGAAATATCACATACAAATTAAATATGTGTGCAATGAAAAAGAAATCAGTAAAAATAAACCTTTTGAAACCAGGTTGTGGTTTTACCTTGAACATCATCTAAAACTCATAAAACCTTTCTCTATGAAGCTGAATGGCCATAAGTCTACAAATCACAACTTGAAAATCTCAGAACTCTCAAATTGTCATCCTGAAAACACCAGGATTTTTTTTTATTTCAGAGGATGTGGGAATCACAGGCAAGCTCAGTATTTGTTGTCTATCTGTAATTGCCATTGAACTGACCTGCTTGCTAGGCCATTTCAGAATCAAACATTTTGCTGTGGGCCTGGAGTCAAATGTAGGCTAAACCAGATTAAGCATGATGTGGAAGTGCCGGTGTTGGATTGGGATGGACAAAGTCAGAATTCACATGACACCAGGTTATAGTCCAACTGGTACAAAGGAGCAGCGCTTTGAAAGTTTGTGATTTCAAATAAACCTGTTGGACAATAGCCTATTGTCATGTGACTTCTGATTTACACCAGATTAGGATGGCAGATTTCCTGTTCTGAAGGGAATTAATGAACCAGATGAATTTTTGCAGCTACTTGCCATCATTACTGAGAGTAGCTTTACAGTCTAGACTTTCCTAATTAATTGAATTTAAGTTCTTGCAGCTGCAATGGTGGAATTTGAAGCTGCATCTTTCCCCAACTCAGCATTAACCTGCGCTTTTGGATTACTAATTCAGTGATCTTATCACTACACCACAAACTCACCTTTTTTTCAGAAGTCATCCTGAATCCTCCGAAATATTCAGGCTGTTACCATGAGTACTCCAGATCATTGCAATATAACAAACAGGAAGACACGTGCAGGTCCATTAGCTTATTCTACCATTCACTTACATCCTGCTGCAACTCACTTTTTCTGCCTTGTGTCTGTATTCTTGAATAACCTTGCCTAACTAAAAGGATCAATGTCAATTTTTGAAATGTTCTTTTGTCTAACCTCAAGAATATTTTGCATTAGACAACAGCAAATGGGCTGAGGGGCATCACACAGACAGTGGTTCATATGTGGAATCAACTGCCAGAGGAAGTGGTAGACGTAGATGCAGTTACAACATTTAAAAGACATTTGGACAAATACGTGAATAGGAAAGGTTTAGAGGGCTATGGGTTAGACACAAGCAAATGGGACTAGTTTAGTTTGGCAAACTTGGTCAACATGGACGAGTTAGACCAAAGGGTCTGTTTCCATGCTGTATGACTCTATAATTCCAGATTTCCACTGGCCTTGTGTGAAGAATTACTTCCTGATTTGTCATCCATCTCTAATTATAATGTCATCACACTTTGTTCTGGACTCTAGTTGTGATAACTACTTAAATCAATTTAAACACCTCAGTTAAAACACTCCTTATTCTTCCATACTCAAGAGAATGCAAGACTGGTCTTTCCAACAAGACCTCATAATTTAACTCTCTTATACTGAATTGGCTCTGCATTTGTTTGCATACTATTCGTGAGTGATATAGTGATAGTGTCCCTATGTCCAGACCAGGAAGCCCAGGCTCAAGTCCAAACTGCTTCAGAGGTGTGTAATAACATCTCTGAACAGGCTGATTAGAAAATATCTCCAGTCGCAACTAGCATCACGTGCTTTCAGAGACAAAGGTCCTTGTAATGCAGTAATAATATCCCTACCCCTGGGCCAGGAAACTCAGGTTCATCTACCAACTGAGCTGTCCAATAAAATCCCTTAACAAATTAACTAGAAACTGTCTATCCATCTTGAGATGCATCACCCAGAACAATATTCTAATATAATCTAACCAGAGTGTTGTTTTTTAATTCATTCATGGGATGTGAGTGTCACTGGTTCGGCCAGCATTTGTTACCCATCCCTAGTTGCCCTTGATCTAATATCAAGCTTAATCCAATTATAACATCTATTCCAATCCTCTTGAGAATAAAAGGCACAAATCCACTACCCTTGTTAATACTGCTTGTAATTGTTTACCAGCTTCTAGTGATAGTTGCACTTCAGTATCTAACTTTCTCTGTTCCTCATAGTTCCTAAGTTCTTACCACTTAGAAAATACTCTGATCAATCTTCCTTGGGTTCAAAGTGGTGACACTGTACTGCCTTATGTTGAGCTTCATCTGCCACGGTTTATCCTAATTACTGACCTATCAAAGTCCCTCCACAACATTCTGCTTCCACTTACATTCACTGCGAAATCTAAATTTGACATTATCTTTAAAGTTGTTATTTTACCTCTCAATTCATCATCTAGGCAGTTTATAAATGCAGTGAAAAACTGAGGCTCCAATCCATATCTCTGGGACACCAATAGTCACATCCATTATCCCCACCCAGTGTGTTTTATCTCTTCACCAATATACCCCAGCCACTGCATTAGGGTGCCTTCAATTCCATGTACACTTATTTTGTTAATGGTTTATGAGATGAACTTCATCGAATGCCTTCAAGGTCCATATAATTAGCATCCACAGATACTCCCTCTGTCTCAGGTTAGTTGCTGTATTGATGCCTGAAAAATCCCAGAGGTTTTAAGCTGTTATTAAAACACAAAATGCTGGAAATAATCAACAGATGAGGCAGAATCTGTGGAGAGAGAAACAATGAATGTTTCTGGTCAATTAACTTTAATCAGAACTGAGAAGTTGGGATATGTAATAGATTCTGATCAATTGGGTGTTGGACAAGAATAAAGGAAGGTTTGCAATAGAATAAAGCCAGGAAAGATTGAAAAACAGAAGAGTTAAGCTTACAAGGCCAAAGTGAGCAGTGAGCAGTGATGGGACACAAGAAGAAGTAAAAGATGTGCCTTGACCAGGTCAGCTCCCGGCTGAAAGCAAAATTAACAGAAAGACCACAACATGCAAAGAAAATGAAACAAAATGAATGCGGGGGGGGGGTGGAGGAATTTCACATAGCTAAATGTCTGAAATTGCTAAACTCAGTGTTGAGTCCACAAGGCTGTAAAGTGCATAATCAAAAGATGTTCCCGAAGTTTATTTAAAACAAAGAACTGCGGATGCTGAAGATCTGAAACAAAACCAGAAAAAACTGCTGGAGAAACTTGGCAGCACTGGCAGCATCTGATTTTGGACTGGACACAAAAGTTAACTCTCTCCACAAATGCTGCCAGATCTAATGAGTTTCTCCAGCAATTTCTGTTTTCTTCCTCAAAGTTTACGTTGAGCTTTACTGGAACAGTGCAGCAGGCCAAAGACAGAGGTCAGCATGTAACAAGGTGGAGAGTTAACACGGTAGGTCTTTAGGAGGATGGGGTCATCTTTGCAGACTGAAGGGAAGCTTTTTTTTTTGCAAATTGGTCCCCCAATCTCTAGTTGGTCTCCATAATGTAGAGGAGACCACATTGTGAGCAGTGAGTACAATTTACTAAACTGGAAAAACTAAACATAAACCAGTGTTTCACCTGGAAAGAGTGTTTGGGGCCTCAACGGTGAGGGCAGACTTGAAAGGAGCAGCTGTTACTTTGCAGTGAAAGGTGTTGTGTGCAGGATCATGTCTGACCTATTTCCAACACTATTTTATTTCAAATTTCCAGCATTCGTAGTTTCGAGTTTTTTTTTTATTAACTTTTAAACTGTGACCCTAAATAGTCCAAAACTTTTAAACTGTGACCGTAAATACCTCAGCACTTATAAACTGTGACCCTACATACTCCAAAACTTTAAAGTGTTACTTGAATACTTCCCCCCCCCCCCCACCCCGAGCTGTTAACTTGCCACACTGTACAAGGGGAGCACTCAATAGAAAGCTGAAATGGTTATACTGCACAGACCTCTGAATCCAGTCTGCTCAGCGTCCGGAACCTTGAAACACTGTAATCGAACTATTTAGAATGTCACCCTCCTGAAACACTCGGAAACTGCAAATTCAAAGCAAGATACATCTAACTCGCACGTACCGCTGCAGTCACGTTCACCGTTAATATTCCAACTGCGAACCATAGTGACAGCAGAACCATCACCGCGTCCGTTGACTTCCAATCTTACGATTTATATATCAAAATAAAGACGATCCTGTGAGATTTGATGACAGCGTCGGTCGGTCTTCAGGCTGCTCTGGAAGGGACTTGGCGTGTTTGAAGGGAGCCCAGGGCTTTTGAGAAAGTCTCTGGCTCACAGGACTTGCACAGACACAAAGCCCAGGCTCTACCCTCTCTCCCCGGGTAATAAACTCCAAAATCCCCAGCAGGACCTTGACGTCAGCACGGAGACTGTAACCACATGCTCATACCGGGCTGCCAACAACAAAAAAAAAGGCAGACTTTATTCACAGAGAAAGAGGATGGATGAGGATCGCTGCTGGCTGTTTAGGACCGTTGCATTTCTCAAGACCAGACCCCCTGCCCCACCATAAAGCTCTTAAAACTTCCTTTAAAAAAAAAACAAAACAGATGGGCAAGTAAGGCATAGAGTTAAAAAGAGCTCAGATTCACAATTCTTCACGACCTCGTAAAGCGCCCCACAATCATAGAGTCCAGAGCTGTACAGGATTCTGAGGAAGGGTCACCGGACCCGAAACGTTAACCCTGTTTTTTACCTTCACAGATGCTGCCAGACCTGCTGAGCTTTTCCACCAACTTTGTTTTTGTTGCAAGAGCTGTACAGCATGGACATAGACCCTTCGGTTCAACTAGTCCATGCCGACCAGATATTCTAAATTAATCTAGTCCCATTTGCCAGCATTTGGCCCCTATCCCTTGAAACACTTCCTATTCATACACCCATCCAGATGCTTTTAAAATGTTGTAATTGTACCAGCCTCCACCACTGCCTCTGGCAACTCATTCCATGTACACACCACCCTCTGTGTAAAAAAGCTGCCCCTTAAGTCCCTTTTAAATCTTTCCCCTCTCACCTTAAACCTATGCTCTCTCGTTTTGGACTCCCCCATCCCGGTGAAAAGACCTTAGCTTCTCAACCTATCCGTGCCCCTCATGATTTTATAAGCCCCTGTGAGGTCACTCTCAGAGAATTCCTTTTGCCCATATGACAAATACTGATAATCCACTTGCACACAGCAAAGGACCAGAAATGGGATAAAGAGGCCTAAACTTATTTTTCAAACTTCTGATGCCACTTGAAGAATGAACATCAGGACTTGGAACAACTCCTTGTCTCCTCTTTTACACCACCATGGGATCTTTTACCTCCAACTGACCAGGAAAAGGAGGAGGTCAGAAGTCAGCATCACCTACAGAGCACTCACTCACCACAGCTGAGTTGAAGGAGCAAGTTTCTGCAAATGATGGAATCTGTACTGAAAACAAAAAATGCTGGAAAATACAGTGGGTCAGTCAGCGTCTGTGGAGAGAGCTAGCTAACATTTCGAGTCTAGATGAGTCTTCATCAGTGCTGAGCCATCTTTTGGGATGGAACGTGAGCTCAGATTCAGCGAGGAGAACACAGAAAGTGGAAGCAAGATGAAAATTGCTTCATAGTAACTTTCTAAAGAGCGTTTAGTGCATATTTTGCAAGGAGAATAATGCTGGGGGAAGAGAGAAGTGAGGTGAAGATCCAATTGAATAGCTGCTTCAAAGAGTCAGCTCAGGAACAATGGACAAAATGGCCTATTTTATAACGCTACTACTATGACTCTTTGATATTTATATCATAATTTCTGCTGCTATTGCAGTTTTCAATTATTAAAAAATTAAAGATCACCATGCGCTGTGCATCTGCTCTCGGATCCAGCAATACCTTTTGCACTAACATTTTACATAATGCTGTCAATTTCTATTTAAAGTGATTATTCAGCTTTGCCAGGAGTCTGCTTGAAAATTTTCTAATCATTGCAGATAGAGAGCTTATTAATTAAAATGCCCTTGAATGAACTTCATCATTTAGTTTAGTTGCGTTTTCACAATAAACTGGAAATATGTTTCTATTCTGTGAATAATGAATTCGTACTTGAATTCTTAAAAAGATTTAAATGAATAGAATAATTTCACTGCATAAAATCTTAATTCAGATTTTATTCATCAACACATCCTATATGCTACTGAGACACTATTAGTGTACTCTCCAGTCAGTTACTACTGTTGAACAAACAGTACAAAAACAAAAGTATGAATTCCACTCAAGAATTCCATATTTGAAGATTTTTCTATATTCAATAAATTCTTCAGGAATCCATATACTATTTCCCTATACATGGAAGCAAGATGGAGGCAGAGAACGACGCTCCAACTGGAGCTCCTCTGCTCCACCTGTTCTTTTTCTTTTTTTCCTTTCTGTTTTCCTCCTTTACTGTGTTTCTTTTTTTCAATTTTTTGACTTGGACTAACCCAGAGGGGAATGGAGGAGCTGGTGAGCCCCAGAAGTGAATCGCGGAGCAGGGAAGCAGTTTCGGAGTGGAGGCCAGTACAGGGAATCAAGTCCTGGAGCAGTGGTTGGAACGGGGAAGCAGTCCCAGAGCAGAGGCTGGTTCAGGGAAGCAGTCCTGGAGAAAACCTACCTTGGAGCAGCTGAGAGCTGATGTGGAGCAGACTGGAGGCTGAGAGCGGAGCGGGGACAGTTGTTGGAATGGGGTCTGGCGCCACTGTCAGACCACGTATGGAAGCTCCTGTGCTGAGCTATTACAATCTAATGTTTATTTGTAACTTGTTTATCTGACTGTAATGTCAACACTTTTAACTAAGACTTATTTCTAACTTATACCATGAATCACTGTAAAGTAACGCAACTACTTTTTTTTATTCCTCATTTTTGTATTTAAGATTTGTACCTAAGATTGCGCCATAAAGGACAACATTGTAAAACTTTTCACTGTACTCCTGTACTTCAGTACATGTGACATTAAAGGATATTCTAATTCTAAAGCTTTATTTCACAGAGAAAATGACTGTACTCTGATATTTTAATGATTACATTCATGCTAAATATAGAGAGACAAATCAGAGGCCTGTGCCTGCAGCATTGAAATCCTTCCCACTTATTGTCATCCAATTAGTCAAGTTAACTTATGTCACAGGTTGTGCAGTAAGGTGTCTCAAATCAAAATAGCTCCTTTGTAAGTCAGTATCAAATCCTGAGGACAGGCAGTTCAAGAAGGCACTCACCACCACTTTTTCAAGGGCAACTAAGGATGAGCGACAAATGCAAACCCAGCCAGTGACACTTGCATGCCACCCGTGAATTTTAGAAAACACAGCATCCTGCACTCAAGCTATTGGTTGCTCATCACATGGTCCTACTTAGATTTCTGAGTGACACTTTACCACACCATTGGAGGCAATAGAGAATCGAGAACAATTTGACTGGGTATTTCAAAGTCCCATTCCCCTAACAAAATATTTGAGATGTAAAGAAGAAAGAAAGGCTTGCATTTAGATTGAGATTTTCAGAGCTTCGAACATGCCAAAGCACTTTGGGACAGGGTACAGAGATACAGACAGCCTCTGGTGATTGGAAGAACCCTAAACAAGATGTAATTTATATAGTAAATAAAAGCCAAAAGAACTGCAAATGCTTCCTCAGAACAGAGGAAGGGTCACTGGGCCCGAAACGTTAACTCTGTTTTCTCCTTCACAGATGCTGCCAGACCTGCTGAGCTTTTCCAGCATCTTTGTTTTTGTTGTTGTAATTTATATAGGATTAACACGGAGAACAGGAGAAACATTTTAAGACAAAGCACTGTTAGAATTAGTGTTTGAAGCAGAGATTATGTCAACACTTCAGAATAGGATGGCTGAGAATGTTATGTGTTCAGTGAGTACATTTTGCTTATGCTCTGTCTTTATTGGAGTTCCTTGTAAAATGGCTGCTTGCAGAGTGAGTGTACCTATGGCATAGGTCACATGACTTCAGCAAGCCAGGAAAGACTTCCAATAATGCCATCCAAATGGAGAAGGTGCAATTAAGAAACTATTTATGTGGATAATAAGCACTAAAACAGAAATAGTTGAACTAAACTTTTATGTATACCCATCCTAAAATATAGTGCCTAATAGGAAAAATTACACACTTGTGTGGTTGGAATAGAATAGCATCGATATGCTGCTGCACTGAGACCAGCAATGTGATATTACTGAGATGAGATCAGCTACTGGTGCTCCTGGGCTGGGATGAGCCAGCTGGAGTTCCAACACTGGAAGCATTTTGTTACCACAGCCAAATTGAGATTAGTCTGCCGGTAGTACTAGCTATAGCTCCTCTGAAGTGCTGACTTAATCTGAACCCAAGATTTGTTGTTACGATTTTGAGTGGTGTTACATGTAAATCCATTGTTATCAGACTTTTGAACCAACCTCCGAAATGTTAATTCTGATCTCTCTCTCTCTGCACCATCTCTGTGGCTGTAACACTGTACTCTGCACTCAGTTCTGCTACCCTGATGCACTTTGTATGGTACGATCTGCCTGTATAGCACACAAAACAACGCATTTCACTGTATCTGAGTACATGTGACAACAATCAATCAATCCAGGCAATCTCTAATAATATTCTGCCTGATAGGCTAGGTTCGGTCAAATCTGTTTATACAGAGTTTGAATCAGATTCTTGGTATTCACAGAGGGGAAGAAAGAGAGAAGGGGAGAAGGGCAGGACAGGCAAAGGAAAAAAGAACTGAAAAGCAAAAAAATTTTTAAAAAGGCATACCCAATCACTCGATAGCTAATTAAATCTACTTACTGTTTTAATGTAGGAAAATGTGGCAATTAATTTGCACACAGTGATTTCCCACAAAAAGCAATGAAATAACTGACTGATTATCATAGGTGTTGGCTGAGGAATAAGTTACAGCTGGCCACCAAAAAAAATCTCTCTGGTCTTCTTCAAATAGTACCATGGAATCTGACAAGCACTTGGAATTTCTTTAGGGTTCTCTGCCAAATAATTGGCGAAAACATGTAGACATCCCTTTTCTAATGGAGGCATAAAACAGGGACAAAAGCAATAAAATTTGGAGACAGACAAGATGCAGAGGCACAGAGCAAGTGCAGAAGCAAGTCACTGTACTAATCAGGAGCATAAAATTCTACAATATTCAGGGGCTGAAAAGTGTTTTATCTTGTTAGAAACAAACCCCAGGCAAGGTTCCTCAAGTTATTACAGTTCCAGATGGATACCACAAATTGTCAAGTTTCATGGCAACAAAACAAAAACTAGTTCCCCTTCTATATTCACCCAGCCCCCTTGGTCACAATAGGTTTAATTTAAAAAGCATCACTACCTTATGGATACTT